CCCCAAAACCCCAAAACCCCAAAACCCCATAATATTTAAGATTGATTGAAAATATTATGGGACTGATTTGGCACTCTGAGAGCCAGGCGTAGTAATAGATCCCAGTATCTTATGTATCGATGACGGTGACCTCTTATACTTAAGGTATTCATAATCATCTGTGCTTATCATTGGTACAAACTTCCTCTCCTCTGTATTACCTGATATCATATTCTCAAGGGGTAAATCTCCATTTCCCAACAAATCAATAGAATTTCTTCCATTTTTGTCTCTAAAACTCACAAAAATCCCTTCAATCCTTACTCAGAAACCAGGGTAATATTCCGTTTAACATTCCTATACTTCATTCTTTCCTTGGCCATGTCAATTTTCTTGTTCTTCTCCCTATTTGAGGTTACTTTTAAGCTGGAAAGCCAGACTGGTGAAGGAAATTTAAGCTGAAATTAGCACATCTTGTAAGGAAATAATGAGAAAGTTTGATCTTACGCATAATTTTCCCAAAATTTGTTGAAGACAGCAACTCATGAGAACTTGATTACTATAAAAAAGTTTAACCATTAGTTGAAGAGTTTGAAGAAAAATTCTTCTGAAATAGCACTTACTGAAATATACTACCAAAACAAGTAAGGTAGACAACATGACATAGTTCACATATTTTCTATAGCAAGTTGATGCCTGTTCCCCTCCGGTTTAGCCAAATTTGATAATAACAACATATCCAAGGCCACAGAGATCAAATCTAAAGTGGAACAGCAAAATGTAGGTTATAAAGAAAGACTAGGTGACCTAAGTATGCTTTACTACTTACTCAATATTTTTATGTCTCGTAATAATGAAAAATATTACATAAATCCAACAAAGAACATAGAAGAAATAGAATACACGATCCAGTCGTTCTAAATGTCCCACTTCCATGAACATGCCAGTTACGATCACTGTGGTTATCATACAAATAAACGCTAAGATTGCCATTATGGGCTTCAGGACTCTATTAGTAACCTTCTGAGGAATGGTGCTAATATCGTGATATCATCAGAGGAATCATAGAGATAAGGGCGGGAGGAAGACTCAAAAGAACGCGACCCAGACAATTCATATTTTCAGCAAAAAGCTTCCTTGTGTAAATTGTTTGAGATTTTCCTCATGTATTAATTTAGAGAAAAATATATTACCTTCGATAAAGATGAATATTTCAAAGGGAATAATATTGATCAGTATAAAGAGGAGCTTATCTTCTGGACTATCCTCCATTAGCTTCACAATTCAGAGTATATTTGCGTATAATGAGACACTAGCAAAGGCACAAAGAGAGGTAATCCGGTGCTCCACCACTACGCGTATTTCATCCTTGAGCTTCATATTATAATTTTAATTCAATTAGGGTTTAAGGCCACGGGGTTTTGGGGTTTTGGGGTTTTGGGGTTTTGGGGTTTTGGGGTTTTGGGG